CTAGCCCAGGGTAGGTCATCTACCAGGCAGAGCCCGTCCCCAGGTCCACACTCAACTCCCGCTGCATTTGCTCTTCCATCCGCTCAGTGCGCCTGTCCATGTGCCTGTCCATGGTGCCCTTTCCCATTTCTCTGTCCTTTGCTTCGTGCAGATTCCTTAAAGCAGCTTTCCCTTTTTCTATTGTAGCTAAAACAGACCCTTCCACCCAGCTTTTCTTTAAAATTAGAAAATTTAAATGACATGTACTTATTCTCATGTGATTCACATAAGAATATTTTACATGGCATGGAACCCACCACTTCAAATTGGACAATTCAGTAGTTTTTGCATAGTCACAAGATTTTACAATTATCATCACTACCTAACTTCAGAACATTTCCTTTCCCTCCCCCCAAAGAAACCCCATAGCATTAAGAAGTCACCCCCACCCGCTGTTCCTCCTAGTCCTTGGCATCCTCCAATCTACCCTCTGTCTCTATGGACTTGCCTATTCCGGACATTTCACACCCACCTCTTTTGAACCGTTAAAGTACCCTGTTTTCCTTCCTGACACATGTGCTTTTGTTTGTTCACTTTTTTATCACTTATTCTCTGTGAATAACTTGTAGGGTTTCTTCCCAGTTCAGTCTGCCCGGCATGGAGTGAGCTCAGCCTCTTACTGTTACTGTGGTAGATCGATGTGGTGGTGTGACTCCATCTGGGGCTGTTGTGGAAGAGACTCCTCTGTGATGGGCAGGATGACCTCTAAGAATGCATCTAAGCTTCTGTGTTTCAGTGCAACAGCTTCTCATTCATTACATTTCCAGCTACAGCTCTTTGGGGCTCTAGGTCTTCCCAATGTTTTTTCTGTTCTTCACTAGCAACCCACAGAGTCACACTGATTTGATCTCACTCAACAAAGTGTTGCATTGGGCTTCTAGAAGACTCTTTAGGGCTGGGATCATGCTGTAGCAATAATAATGGTAGCACTCACAGAACATGGGTCATGTGCCTGGCATGGAGATGTGTGTGCTACTTACATTTTTTTCACCTATTCCAATGGTCTTACTACAACCTTGTGAGGTAGATACTAATATTATCCTACTTTGGAGATGAGAGCACTGAGGCTCAGGGAATGGCACGTTTTATTCAGCTACTTTGTGGCAAAGGAAGGACTGGAATCCTCAGGCTCACTTTCTTAACCATTCTACTTTCTGTTTAGCGTCTCTGGTTCCAGCCACATGGTTGCTCCATGGGCCGCTGTAATGTTTGCATGTAATATGTGAGTTGACATTAGCATATCCATTAGGATTGTTCCCAAAAATGACATAAATAAAATAAATACTCCCTGCAATTTTTAGCACAGCAGCACACGATTCAATTTTTTGAAAGATTTTATTTATTTATCTTTACAGGGGAAGGGAAGGAGAGAGGGAGAGAAGCATCAATGTATGGTTGCCTTTCGTGCATCCCCTGCTGGGAACTGGCCTTCAGGGAACCGGCCTGCAACCCCGGTATGTGCCCTGAGTGGGAATCGAACCGCGATTGTGTGGTTCACAGGCCCGCACTCAATCCACTGAGCTATACCAGCCAGGGCAGCACACGATTCATTTTTGTAATATGGAAATCTCCACTGCCTTTGGACTAGGGAGGGGGCCAGCTAGAGACTTCTGGAATGCGCAGGGGCTGCATAAGCATTCGTGCTTGGATGCAGGGAAGAATTCCTATCAGTGACAGAGGCTCAGGCTTCCACAGTGTAGCACTTGGAACAGGGTTATTTCCTGCAGGAGGCTTGATCTCTGAGAGAACTGCCTCTGAGTGGCTTAAGTGGTGCACTAGTCATTGTTCTCCAGAAAAATGGGACCAATAGGAGATATCTATCTGTATCTGTGAGTCTATATCTTTATCTGTATCTATATCTGTCTATGTGTAAGTTTATGCCCATGTCTATGTCTATCTCTATAGAAAGAGATTCATTTTAAGGAATTGACTTACAATTACGGAAGCCTGATAAATCCATAATCTGCAGGATAGGCTTGCAGGCTGGAGACCCAGGCAAGATCTAATGCTACAGTTCAAGTTTGAAGGCTATCTGCTGCAAAATTCTCTGTTGCTCAGGCCAGGCCAACCTTTTGTTCCATTCAGGTCTTCAGCAGATTGGATGAGATCAAGCCACATGAAGGAGGGCAATCTACTTTACTCACAGTCCACCAATGTAAATGTTGATCTCATTCAGAAATACCCTCAGAAATATCCAGAATAATATTTGACCACAATTCTGAACACCTTGGCCAAGCCAAGTTGCACGTACAACTAATCATTGGAGCCAAATACTTGGTGCTTGGGTTAAACCTGCACAGAACTTGGGCTGGAATGAAAGGGGGACAGTATTGTTGGAGAACTTTCTACTTCCCACACAGTGAGGGGGGTCAGCTCCCACCTACCATAAGGTACTACCAATTGACTTTCCAAGAGCAGGCCTGGTGGGTGAGAAGGTGCCTCAGCTACTCTCAGGTTTGCCAGAGAGCAGACATTAGTCTGAGACCCATCTTTGGGTTGGGGGTCCACAAGCAGATGGTTCCTGTACTTCCTGGGACTCTAGGCTGGGTGGGCCACAGGGACCTGGCGATCACTCTCCCGAAGGGGACCCACTTGGTGCTGGCTTGAGTCACCTCTGGGCTGCATTCATTCATTCACCAAACATTTGTTAAAAGTCTGTTATGTGCCAGGCTCTTTCTAAGTATTAGAGATATAGCAGTGAACAAACACAGACAGAATTGCTGTTCTTAAGAAATTCACTTTCTGGGGAATAAAGAGAGATAGACATTTAACAAACAAACAAACAAACAAACAAACAAAATGGCATAGGCCAGGTGATGTATGATCCACGGAGAAAAATAAAAGCAAGCAGGGAACTAGGAAATGCCATGGTTGGCAGGGGGGGTGGGTGCTGGAGGTGCATGCTATGCAGTTCAGTGGTCAGGAAAGTCCTCACTGGACAAAGAGGTGCCTTTTGAGTAAGAGCAAGTCTTACAGACAACAGGGGAAAGAGAACTCTGGTCAGGGGGAACAGGAAGTGCAAAGGCCCTGGGGAAGGCCTGTGCCTGGAATGGAGTGATAGTCTGCAGAATAGTGGGAGATGCAGTTCAAGAAGTCACAGGAGGCTAGAGGGAGTGGGCTGTCTAGTGAGGGCCGCCACGAGAGCAGCAGCTGCCACTCTGACTAATCTGAGTAGCTGGACAGCACTGGAGGGCTCCGTCTAGCGAACCGGTGACATGATCTGGCTGCTCTGTTGCGAACAGGCTGTGGGCTGTCTGTGTGTGGTGCAGGGAGTGTCTTAGTCCATTTGGTTGCTATGACAAAACACCACAGAATGGGTGGCTGATAAACAACACAAATTTATTTCTCACAGTTCCGAAGTCTGGGAAATCCGAGATCAAGGTGCCAGGAAATTCGGTGTCTGGAGAGGATCATCTTTCTGGTTCACATACAGGCATCTTCTCATTGTGTCCTCATGTGGCGGGAGCGGTGAGGCAGCTGTCTGGGGCCTCCTTTATAAGGTCACTAATCCCACTCATGGGGCTCCACCCTCATGACCTGATCACCTTCCAAAGGCCCTGCCTCCTAATACTGTCACATTGGGGGTTAGTATTTCAACCTACAAATTTTGGGAGGACACAAGTGTTCAAATCAGAGCAGGGACTGTGAGGCAGACGCAGGGAGGCTCGTGCCAGAATTCAGGGGAGAAATGGTAGGGCCATGGCCCAGGCGGTGGTGAGAAGTGGCCAGGTCCTGGATCTGTCTCAAAGGCCAAGCTGACAGCATTTGCTGCCCACAGCGAGGCCTCTGTGAAGAGTGTGTGAAGGTGGAGGAGTGCCACAGGAGAGGTTTAACCCCTATGTTCCCATCCAGCCAGCTCTTGCACACTTATAGTCAAGGTAGGAAGAACATAGCCTTTAGATTGTTAGGACTCTGGTCCTCAACAAGTGTGTCTGAGGGCAGCCCTCAGGGCTGGTTTAGGGTGTGTGGTCGGTTTGGTCTCAGTGGGACAGAAACCTCTCCTGGGACCGAGAGTGGATTCACCCAGTGGCCTGTCTCTCTGGTCCTTGTGTGCTGTAGACACCCATAGCCCAGTGGCCATTCAAAGGAGGAAGTGACCTCATAAGAGTGGCTTTCAAGCCACACAGGATGGGTCCTCGCGTGACATTTAGCCGTCCCTCTGGTTTACACCGAATTCAACAACTCGTAGCCTGCAGATCCTCAGTGTAAATATCTGGAAAAGCCTGACCTTGACAACCTCATTTCTCATTCCTTTCTTGTTACAGGTAATAGAGCTGAAAATGTGGTTTTAATTATAGCGCTAATGAAAACTGAAAATCCAGACAGACACTTGACGAACTCTGCTGTGCTTTATATTACATTTGTGCTAACTACAAAGTGCCCAGCTGGGTGTAACATTATCCCCCTCTCCTCGAGCATCCGCCTGACTGAAGCTGTATAATTGATGTGTACTTTGGCAGGAGGTCAGCTTAAAGGGTTTTTTTTTTTCAGATTTTTTAAAATAAAAAAACATCTTTAACGGTATTTAGGGAAAGGAATACGTTTATTACCTGTGCTGAGAGCACATTTCTCTGGGCTGCCCTACACTCCCCACCCCCACTCCAAATTCTTCTGAAGCATTCCACACATTGCCGTCAGGAGAAAGCCCAGAGTCAGAAGGGAGCTGAGAGACTGAGTCTACCTTGGAGCCATGTACTTTTGGCTTCGGCCGGTGACACTGCCCGGGCAAAGTCATGCCTTATCATGCAAACCTGTTCAGCTTTCTAGTCATTCCTGTTGGAAGGGTGTGTCTGGTGTCATGAAAGCGAAGGCGGTTGTGAGCGGAGACTACGCGCAGGTCTGCATGGGCCCGTCTGTCCTCACCTGCTGGCCCACGGCTGCCATGTTGTCAAATAAAATACAGGACACCTCGTTCATTTTGAGTTTCAGATGAACAACAAATAACTAAAAATTGAAAAGCATTTCCTGTATTAAAAAAAACTTCTTAGTGTTTCTGCAGAAATTCAGAGAGCTGGCAATAGTAAAGCCATGTTACAAGCCTTAAAGACATTAAAGTCATTAAGGTGTCTGAAAATGGCTACATGAAAAAAAAAAAACTTCTTAGTTTTTAATTATTTACTATTTATCTGAAATTCAAATCTGAACTGTTTTCAAATCCTCTAGCTTTATTTACTGAGTCTGGCATCCCCACTCACAGAGTGTCTGAGATGGGGCAAGGTTTCCGCCAGGACTCCTGAAGAGTCCTGCCCGTGACTTATTAGCAAGGGTGTCCAACCCATGGCCCTTGAGCTGCGTCTGGCCCAACACAAAATCATAAATTTACTTAAAATCTTTTTTTATCTTACCAGTTTTCGTTAGTGTTTGGGCCAGGAAAATTCTTTTTCCAGTGTGGCCCAGAGATGCTGAAGCTTGGACACCCCTAAAGCATTTGGAGACATTGTCAGGTCAGCTCTGTTCCAGTGGAGCGCACACCTCTATTCAAAACCCACCTGACTGTGAAATCACTCCCTCTTCCTGCTCCTAGGCCACAGAGAAGGTGGTGAATCCATGGCCATGGTTCTAGGATGACTGGAGCTCACGGTACCACCTGCCTCAAAAACAGTGAGGGGTTTGCAGAGACCCACTTTGGGTGAGGGCATCTTCACTGGCTTGGTGGTTGACCCCAGTTGAGCTACACAGTTTCCTTTGTGTTTAATTTATAGTGTGTTTGGTTTTTATTTAAATGTCTGAATAGACGATCTAGTCTTATTACATACACTGATTTCCATAAGACATAAAAGGTATTTGATGAAAAGTCTTCCCCTACTAGGGTCTAGCCATCTAGTTTCCTTCCGCACAGGCAACAAATATTATTAGTTTCTTATTTAATCTTTCGGAGATACTGATGCACATCACACATTTGTAAATGAGCACTGTATGCATTTTCCCTCCTCTCCATTTCATGTAATTGTTAGCATACAATACCCACTGTACTTATTCTAAAAGCATCTTCTGTTTTTGATATTACTGTACCTTGACAATCTTGTCATATCATGACATAAGGAACTTTCTTATTTGTTTATTATGGTTGTATAACATTACATTGTGTGGATCATTATTTAACCCACCTCCTTTTGATGTACATTTACATGGGTTTTAATTGAGTGCAGTTACAAACAACAACTTGGAACATGCTTTGTTTTTTTCATGTGTGTGAAATAACTTTGGATAAACTTCATGTATGGAGTCGTTGGACCCAAGAGTATATGCATTTACAGTTTGCCAAATTGCTCTTTCTGTTAGATTCTTATTGCTGCTGTAACAAATTACCACATACTTACTTACTTAAAATAACACAAAATTATATCTTACAGTGTTGGAGGTCAAAAGTCTTAAAATCAAGACACTGGCAGGCCTGCATTCCTTGTAGAGGTTCTACCGCAGCATCCACTTCCTTGCCGTTCCAGCTTCTAGGGGCCGTCTGCTTTCCTTGGCTTGTGGGTTCTTCCTCTGCCTTCAAGGCCAGAAGGGCAGCATCTTGAAATCTCTCTCTGCTGCCATTGTTGTATCTTCTCTGACACTCACACTCTTGCCTCCCTTTTATGAGGCTCTTGTGATTATATTGAACCCACTCAGATAATTCAGAATCATCTTCCTATTTCAACATCCATAACTTTAACCATGTCTATAAAGTCCCTTTTGCCATGAAGGTAACATATTCACAGGTTCTGAATTAGCATGTGGGCACGTCTGTGGGGTGATTATTCAGAATATCATCTCATAGAATTTGCACTAATTTTAACCCCACCAGGGCCTCACAGAATGTGCATTCACATTTTTTGAAACTTGACTAACCTGATAGGTTAATAAATGGTACCTCTGTGTTGAATGTTAAGTTGCATTTCTCTGACATGGGTGGGTGAGTGGGAGCTAAGAGCCATCTTTTTTTTTTCTTTTCTTTTTAAACTGTCAGTTGAACCCATTGCTTATTTTTCTATCAGGCTGTCAGTTAAGAAATGATTATATGTTACAGTAGATGACATTTCTGAGAAACAAATTGCCCATTTTTCCAGTTTGTCATTTATATTTCAATTTTGCTTATGAAAGCTTTTTTATTGCCACGCAATTTTTTTATTTTTATGTAGTTAAATTTATCAAATTTATATATGGTTTCTAGAGTTTGTGTAATGGTTACAAAGCTCTTCTCCACACCAAGGAAATAAAAATAAAAATAACTTCTTTTTAAATTTAAATAAGTAAAAATCAACACAGGAAACATGGTTTTGGTTGAAAGGGTAGAAATATAGGTCAACAACACAAAATAAATAAACACCAAGAGGCTGCATTTTATCACATACTCCATATAAGAATGTACGTTACAATATGTTTGCAAGCAGGAGCCAGGGAGTGGCGGTGGAGGCCGGCTCGCATGGGTTTGCAGGAGCAGTCGGGCCTGTTGCGTCTCTTCCCATCACCACCTTCAGGAACATCAAGTTGGTAGTTTAACCTGATCGTGTTGACAGTATTTACACTAAGAAAATGGGAAAATGCCACAAATCAGGCCTTTTCCCCTAGAGAACCAGTTGTTAAACCTTTGCCAGGACACTTCTAGAGAGTTTGTCTAAAAGCCTTAAAAAATCCTCAAGGACTGATTTTACTTAGATTTTTTTGTTTATTTGGGATCAGTGAGGTAGGAGGAGGGCTCATGGGTATTTGTCTGTGCGTCTGGGGTAGCTTTAGGTTGGTGGTGCCTCTGTACACACACACACACACACACATGCACACACACTTACTGAAACATCACATTGTGCATTAAATCTGGTAGTTTCTCTCCTCAATGGTATATTGGTGCTACCTTTCTATCCCAATAAATATTTATCTAAATTGCCATCTTAATGGTTGCATAGTATGCCACAGATTTATTATTGCATGACCAGTCACCAATTAGGAGACATTTCTCAAACTTCTGCATGTCTTGGTTGTCCCCTCCAAGATTAATATGACATTAGTCTGCCCAATTCTCTCTTAAAGATGTTGGGATGATCAGAGAGAAGACTTTCAAGAAGTGCTTTGATATCTTCTGGTTTCTGAGACCTTTACAATGTTGGCATCCATCACTACTCTTCTAACAACCCCCAACCAGGCAGGCCTTTTGGACGATGCCCTGGTTCCATTTGGTATAACCTACCTGGACTCCTTGGAAACAAATTTTGAAGATATTTATGTGGCACAGCAGCTTAGAAAGAATGGACAAGACATGTGGATTTTAAAAGACAGAAGCCATGAGACAGGCTGGGAAGATGGCAACAAAGCCATAGATAAAAATAATGAGGATAAATCCCATCAACTCACTGAGAGGTTCAGACAGGCCAGCAGGCATGGAGAATTCGGAGTGGAGAGTAACTAGGGAAGATACCTTTGGGCAGTGAGAATGACATTTCCTGGTTAGCACAGACTTCAGTGCAACACGATAATTATTTCTCAAGTATCCAGGACATCCTTAATATTGTGTTAGGTATTTTGGGGGAACTTAGGGGAAACAGGAATGGTGGACTTGTTTTAATCAGGGAAAAATGGAAATTTTCATAAGTCCATAAGAACGATCTTTGCAAAGAACAGTCACCTGGCAAAGCACCACTTTGAATTTTCTATATCTTTTTGATGATGAGATACAGGATTACTGCACTCAAGTCAGTTCTGCGTTACTCTGTGATGTTATCTGAATAGCGTAATTGCTCTGAGTGAAAACCCATCTGCAAAAGGGAGGTAGGTGCTCTGAATTTTTTCAACAAGTACCATGAAAGAGTATTGCTAATAGTGGAATTTTAATTAGTGCCTACACTGTAGCTTTGAAAATAATCTTTTCGTGCTTCCTTGAGCCTAAGGGCAAACGGACACCACCTAGTTGAAATACCACATACACTCTATGGTTTTTTTAATCTTAAAACATATTGTTGCCACTGGAAGGCAGTGTTGCCTAGTCACTGTGTTCAGCTAAGCCGCTGGGTGGACCTAAAGATTTGGCTGAATTTGCAAGGAATTCAAATAAGCCTGAAGTGTTTTCATTTCTGCCTCTTCTCTGAACCTGGCAAAGCTCCTGGCTGGCCATCTACGTGCCATCCAGGTTGGGCATTTTCTTGCCTGAGGTGTGCTGGTGTTGATTACGGGAAATCAGCCTGTATGCATTAAAGCGCTGAGACCTGACCGCTTTCCTTTGGCCTCCACTTTTCATAAGTGTGAAATAGGACCATCAGCTCTTGCAAATGCATAACTTAGTTTTTAAAAAAAAAGCAAATGGTAGGATTTCCATAAAACAAACACAAGCTGATTAATGAGTTATAAAGGTACCCTTGCAGAAATCTTGCTTTGACTATTTTCACTATTTTATGATTTTTATGACCAAATTATTTTATGATTATCCTCGAATTATTTTCCTTCCTTACCCACTGTACCTGGTAGAATTCTATCAAGGTCAATTCTGAGTTCTCAAAGAAAATTGGTTCAATAATTAAATCATCTTTTTTGCATTTTTTCTTCTTATGAACGAATAGTCAGATAATATTTTGACTTAGAACCACATGTCAGAATTTGAGTTAGGGAGTATTCTCTGTTGGCTTTTTAATAGGCTATTAACAATAATCCCTTATCTGTGTAGAGTACTTTAAAAATGTAAAATCTTTGTATATATTTTTTCAGTGGATTTTTGTAACAGTCTGCTGAATTTGGTGAAGGAGGAATCGTGATTTCCATTTTGATGTTTAGCAAACAAGTTCAGGGTGAGTCATGCTCCCAAAGCCACGTACTAGCCTTCTGGTTATAAACTGTGCTTCTCCCTCCCTCACGTGCACTATGTGTGAACAGAGGCCCTTCGCCTTGTCGGCCACGACAATAAGGCCGGAACAGGAGCTTTTATTCAAGGCATGTTTTTTGTCCCATCTTTCCTACTTCGGTTCATAGATGGACATAACTAATTTTGTTACGTCAATAAATGGCCAGCACAGCATGATTTTTCATGGACTCAGGATGGATCAGGGACTCTACACATTAAAAGCCTTTCCTTCTTAGGGCGCTTTATTCTAAAGAGTGTTTCTGTAGAAACGTTTTTT